ACACACACACACACACACACACACACACACGTCTTCTTCTGATGCAAAATAATGACAAACATTTTATATAAAGCTAAGGGAGAACAAGAGAAATGTTTTTTCTGTCCGTTTTACACAACATCATTGTTGTATTTCAACTCTTGATTATTGAAATCACTATTGCCATATAACTGGGTCACCTACTTTTATTTGTATTAGTTAACTTTATATCTATGAAAAGACAAAACACCTCAAAATAGGCTCTGACTTCCCAACAGTGGCACTCAGCATCACTCTGGTTCCTTCCTATTAAAGATCTAAATCCTTTTTTTAAATACTTCCAAATAATTCAAACATGGGCAAATGTAAACAGTGAATTTATCAATGTATTGCCGTGAACCAATGCACATTTGATCTGTGTGTTCATAGCACTATAGAAATAATATGTGAGATTTAATAAAAGACTATAATTATAATATATCATCAATGAGATCATCAATGGATATCAATTAATAACCTATATTGACAAAGGGAAGGCATGTTTTGCAGAAAGCTCTGTCATATTGGATGGGAAGCGTCTGTTAACTGCCGTCTTCAGGCGGTGTAAGAAAAATCACACTCAACTAAAAGTATTTGCAGCAAAATGTAGTTGTACTGAGACATGTGTAGACTAGGTTGGGTATTCTGTGTATGTACAGTCACTGTTGTATTCAGGTGTCAGGTTCAATAGAACAATGGACTTGCACTGGTAGAAAGTAGGTGCACATTGTTATTCTGTTAAACACCTCAGCAACTCATGGTGAATTAGAAAGTACAGACAATTAGGGCCAGTCCAGTTCTGTCTGTTCACAGGGATAACACTAATAATATCCACACTGCATTAATTATTGAACTGATACTTTACTGTACATATTTATTACTTTATTTATTTATAAGTTGTTTTAACTCCATGATAGAAAACTTTGCATTAAATGTGACCCATAACATTGAACTTCTCGAATAAAGATACATGGACATTTGATATGCAATTGAAATATATAAAGTCATAATTATTTTTGAGTGCACTTAAGAAACAAAACAGATGAAACTAAAGTCACTTTGAAAACAACTTAAAATCCTCTGGAGTCCTCGAAATTACATTTTGTGTATTTTAATTGGCTAAATTAAATTGTCGGTATAAAAAGAACTGTGTGTGTTCAGCTTCACCTCAGATTCACCTTTTACTTTTCCCTCTCATGGGACATTGTTAGAGCCTTCCTGTCAAGCAGGTATCACCTAATTTCAAACACACATCACACACACACACTCACTGACATTAGGGAGTACCGGTCATTACTGGTGTCCTCCATTTGAAATGTGAAGATCATGCTGGTATCTCACGTTGTAAGAATCCCGCTTGTTAGCAGAGGATCTCGCTCATTTGTTCATTCTGGCTCTCATGGCAACGTCAGCCTTTGTCGTCCTCGGTGACAAGACTCGAGCGCTAAATGAAGCAAGGATTACAACACGCATTAACGGACACTCAAGCAGATAGTGAAGGGTACCACCTGTGTTGACATGTGTACACAAAGTCTCACATTTCAAAGATGCTTGATTCATAAAGAAAATCATGATGGCAAAAATTATTAATATTTTGATACCAAACTGAAAAAAACGGGTTTCTATTATAACATCAATGACATTTCTTTGTGTCTTCCTTGTACTTTGTTCCAGGTTGTCTAAATAATTGTCCCATGGCTGCACCCTGACACTATCATCTGTTCAGCCTCTTTCCTCCGACCCTCCATCTCCTCATCCCTCCTCCTCAGCCTGTGACCTATTTATACCCTGGAAACTCAGGAGAGCCCATTAAAGCTCCGGAGATCTCTTCAGACACAACCAGGAGCATGAATCCAACAGCACACAAAATCTACTATCTCATCTCCAGCCTCTGCTCCTCTTCTTGTGTAGCTTCAGATGAGGAAAACTAAAACTTTGACTGCTGGAAATTCTTGAAATGCAACAAGACCGTGGCTGTAGTCCTCCCCTGATATTCCACTGCGGCGAGGACCAGTTGCAGCTCGTTTGGGAACTTTGGACGCAGCATGTGCTTGAGTCTGTGGAGCCTTGGAGCTTCTGACCAGTTGAGTTGAAGTAAAAGAAAACACATCAGTAACATGTGTTCTTTCACTTGGCTGTCTCTATAGCTATGAGATATGGGACACTGAAAGGATTTAGCTGCTACATGACTCACATATCTGAAGGTACGTTGAATGAATTCCCCTGATATCAGCTTAAACAATAGAATAAAAATGTATTCAATTCAATATTTACATTAAAGTATTGATTGAATATTAAATGTGCTGGCTATTTCACTTTT